TCTTTCCCACTGCAAAATGTCATCTTGTATACAAGAAACCCCCATGACAGAAATTTTGTGTTTTCTACAAGAAGTTTTGATTCTGACAAGACAACATTTTCTGCTTGGGAAACGTTTTGTTGAAATGTGGTGCCGGTCAGGAATTTATCTTGTGTCTAGATTGCCCATGTTTCAGTATAATCAAGCTAATACATGGAATTTTGAACTTGATACATTTATGTAAACATGGAAAGCACAAATCTTTTTTCTACAGATAGGTCAGAATCCCTTCTTGGGGGGCGGGGAAATAAAGAGGGTGAGGCAGAGGGCCTTAATGTTGGTACCCTCTCTTCTGGATTGTGGGCATTGAGGTCCCCACCTTTAGCAGTATATATTACTTAAAGTAAACCAGCTTGAGCAAAATTCCTTTTGAAAACAATGGCTATGCATCTTGATTTAAGGACTACAAGACAATTCCACCTTTACTGTAATTGCACTCAGCTAAAGCAGGTCAGAATTCTTTCTCTGAGCCTCTTCCTCCCCCTTTGGAAAATTACTGTTTATCAGAACTTTCACTTTATTTACAGTAATCTGTTTCCCTTTCCGGGCATGAGTTTGTGTGGCCCAGAAAAGCATTGCTTCTCAAGAAAGAGATTAAACCTTTATCTCAGGTAGCCAACAGGCCATTGGTCAACAACATTCAGTTGGGTGTGGTAGACTTGCATTCAAGTCCAAACTCTATCTTGTTCAGAGCAGGAACTAGAACAGTGGTGGGCAATTATTTCGGGTGGAGGGCCGCTTCCTGAGTTTTGGCAAGCCATCAAGGGCCGCATGACAGGCAACCAGGGGCAGATAAATATGAATTTTCTAAATTTTTTTAGGGGCCCTGCAGGCCAGATAGAATAGCCTGGTGAGCCGCATCCGGCCTGCAGGCTGCATTTTGCCCACCCCTAGGCTAGAACTCGATTCTCTTGCATTCCATAGGCATGCCATGACCACAAGTGTGGGGCACTTTCCCTCCTACCTTTGACTTCTCATGATGATTTCTAAGAGTCTTTGCTTCACCCCCATGTGAGATGGAAAAATAATTGAAATATTTAAATGCTTTGCTAGTCAGGAAAACCATTTCTGCCCAGCACTGACTTGAATTAAATAATTGCTGGGCATTTAATATGATTTTTGTTCCTTTCTGGATGACCCAATTTTATTTTCTCTGGACAAAAGTTCCTTGGAATGAAATGCTAAAATGAGCATACCAAAAAATAAAACTTCCAAATGTGACTGAAGTTACAAGTTGGGAAAATAACACAATGTTAATGAAATTCCTTCTTTCTTATCTACACCATTCTGACCTAATTCTTCCACAAATGCCTATTATGATCTGTGACACGTTATCATGACTTGCTGCACAATAAAACATCCAGTATGTCCTAATGTTACATATAGAATTTATTCAGCAACATGCTAGTTTCTTTGTTCATGTTTCCTCACACTAGGTTAAATTTAGACTCTAAAACATGTTTCTCTATTTACAAAATACAGTGATCTGGATAACCTCTGCTTAAAAAAATATCTGTTTGCCTTTTTTGTGGCAGATTGTTTACCATTGTGTGTATCAAACCATATCAATTCCTAGTCTGACCTCATCAGCATCATGGTACTATTAATAGGACTCTCATGTGGCCAATCTAGTTTCCATTCTTGATTGATATCTTTATTTAATTTGGAAGCCTCTCTCAATATTCCTTTGGATACAAGAGACAGAAATTAGGTTCTTTGATTAAGTGGAGGGGGAAAAAAAAACATGGTGAAAAGAAAAGATCCATAGAGAGACGGAATGCTAGAGATAACATACAAAGGCACTAGTAGTATCTGTTTTCCCTGCATAAGCATTGTGTGAATGAAGCTAGAAAACTCAGCCAAAACAACGTCTCTTGTTCTTCTTTCTCTTATACCTCAAGTGAGCCAAATGTTTGATTAAAATATTACAGTGAAGCCTCCTTCTCAATATCACTAAATAAGCCACCACTATATCCTTTGTGCTTGGGATAAGTTCCTGGATGGTGCACCAGCTGAAAGAAGAGCAGATTTTGGCCCAGAAAGTCCCAGGACTTTATTGTATGACTCTGACTAGGCAAGTCAGAATTGTAATCAGCATAAGATGCTAAAGCGCTCTCTTTTTTTTTTAAAAAAAAATTCTTTAGCAGATATTTGATAATAAATGAAGTAATTTAAAAAAAAAAATCATTTTTGAAAGCAGTGGGACAACTTGCCTGTGCATGCTTTGGCTCCATGAAAGTTGGAATCGGGAATGGACAAATCCAGTGGAATTTGAGGTTTTATGAGCCTCTCCAAGTTTTGGGGGTTTTTTCATCTGTAAAACTGGTTTGAGTTCACTAGCTATTTTCTCCTGTAATTTAAGCCTGGCTTGTGTTTATTTTTTTCCAAAGGAGATTCAGTTTAAAAAAAAAAAAACAAGCACTTTTTTTCCCCTTAGCTAGAAAAAAATTATATTGTAAACAAGTGATAAAAGAACAGCTTCCAACATAAGGCTGACACAATATGCCATAACTAGGCTAAATGTACTGTCTTTACATTTTCCCGTCTTCAGTAGCATATCGGGAGGGGGGAGTGAGGCAGCTGTCCTTGAAGCCATTTTGGTGTTGGAATCACCCCTAGGAGCCTTTGCTATGCGGGTGCAGCCCTGTGGCACCCAACCATACGGGAGAGGAGCAAAACAGCGGCCACCCCACAGGATTTTGGCCATGGGAGGTGCAACTCTTCTCCCTGCCCCCCCTAGGTCTGCCGCTTGGCAAAAACGGGGCACCAGGGCCAGCCCCAAAGGAGCCTATGCTGTGGGGCTGCTACAACTGACATAGCGAAGATTTCCAGTGGAAAGGGGGGCATTCCAGTGCCCCTCCTGCAACCAGTGTGCAGCAAGTTTTCTCCTTGGCTGTAGTAGCCCGTGTCCCTGTTACTGCGGAGAAAGCTGGGGCAGGTAAGACTATCCTCCCCACTCTCCAATGGCCAGCACTGCCCAGAGCCCTGCAACAGTGCACTATGCCTCTACCTGTTGATACTACCAACGTTCCTATTTTCTGTAACCTAGTTCAGCCAGTTATTAAGGAACCCAACTACAGTGGAAAGAAATAGTCATATGCTGATAGCTAGGCATGTGTGCAAGTGTTTTAGTGAATCCGGGTCTTTCTTTTTCTTTATCGTTCTGCCTATTCTCTTCACTTTTCATTTTACACTTTCATTGGATTTCCTCCCCACCCTCCTCATTTCTTATTCCTAATCAGAACAAATTGAGTAACATTCAGGACATGCCTTCAAATTCATGATGCTTTACTGAGCTATGTATTTAGGCAAAATGTGTTCCAATTGACAGTTGCTCCAACTGAGAGAAAACAAACATGTTTCTGGTTAATCTCGGGATGTTCAGGTCTAGAAGTGCCCATGCAAACAACTGTAGACTAAATCCCATGAGGTACTTCTTAGCCATTGACTTGAAGAATACTCATATTTAACAATAAACACATGCTTAAGAGCTTTGCTGAATTAGGCTGAGAGTGTTCAGCAGGGTTGGGCGGATTTCTCTTTTTTTTTTTTTTTATAGTTTAGCTTGACCTTTTTCATCTCCTCCAGCAGGTATGGCTGGAATACCATTGCTCGGAGTGTAAAACAAGAACAGTGACAATATCCATACATGACATACCTTGCAGGATACCCCCTGGGATCTTGTCTGTTGACTGTACATCTCATCTGACACGGAGAGAGATCTTTTTCCTGTACATGGGCTACTTAACCGATGCGTTAGAGAGCTGCCTTTAGGTAGCAAGGGAAAAAGGGTTCAAAGATTCTTGATGCTGGGATGAAAATGGAGCCTGTACAGTTCAAATATACTTTACTCCCTGATTTCCATACGCTTATAATGGGATACAGCAACTGAGGAAAATTCTAAGCGGCTAATATGTGCAAACAGACTTCTTGCACCACCCTGTGCAGTTTCCATTAATTAAGAATTCTTTAAATCCACAGAACACCTCCAAATAGGAAATGTTAATACAGTACTTCAGATGATAATGTTTTGTATTGTTTTTAGTAGCACATCATAACATGTATGCAGAGCACATTATTCTTTTACATAAGAAAGGTGATTCGTGAAAATCCCTTCTCATTTACCTTCTATAGCTTGATGGTAGACATGTATTATAACTTATTTATTAACTCTTTACATAATTATGTTTCTTATTGATTCTCTGAAGTATGTAAGGCAATGGCACTTGCACCCTGCTCCTAACATACCACCCAGGTGCACACATGTACGTCAGAGAGGGTTCAAACTTTACCTGCTTCTGCAGTATAGCAGCTGGCTGTCCTAGGTGACTCCATAGTTTCCAAGAAATATGATTTTAAGCTATTAATTTACAGGTTCTAGTTTTAAAGCTACTTCACTCATACAGCAGCTTCCCACTTAAATAACAGATCATTTTGTCCCAATTCAAAGCCAGCTGAAATCACTGAAAAGATTTACACTTTGTTTCCAAGCAAAACTGAACCTCTTGTTTGTTTGTTTTTTTTTATTTAGGTTCTGCTCCTGCAAACAAATGCAACTTTTGCAGAACCCTCCACCTATGTGAATTTCCCTCTCTGTATTTTTGGTGTGGGATATGTTGAAAGAATGCAGGGATCACAAAGCCAGCCCCTGCAGGAGTTAGATGTCAGACACAAGACCATCCTAGTGAATAAGAAAAGAATCCTGTGTCATAAAGCATACACACAAGGTAAGCAAATTCAAAGTCGCCCAGGTCTCCTTTCATTAGACATTGGCTAACTATGTGTGTGAGATAAAAAGTGTGATTTACTGTATTTCTAACCTTGAATGACTCTTCTGAGTATGAAGTGTGCTTTGGACCTACTTTCCTTTCCATTATCAGAACATTCTGAACTCAAAGCATATTCTGTCCTGATTAAAACCCTATTTAACTCCACAGACCATTGGTTAGATTGGTGCAGCTAAAGTCAGTGTGCAGCTTCCCCAAAAAATGTTTTCAGTGGTGTGTCCAAACCACCACCCAGTGTTAGATAATGCCACAAGCAATGAGGCAGAACTGTTGTGTTTTTTTTTTCCATGGAATTTACTTCTATTCTATTTCAGTGATGGTCACAAGCCTAAAGTTCAGGTTAAACATTTATCTGAGCCCATGTGTTCATGCAGAGTTTGTGTGAGGGTGAGAATGGCCATGAGAGAGGCTATACACAGTCTCTCATCAGCTCAGCCTCAAAAGTCTGAGTGTTTTATAGGTTCAAAAGACAAAATGGGCCCATTTTGCCTCCTTGATGCATTCCAGTTTATTTAACAACTCTGTGGGGCTCTGACAGTGGCATTGTTGAAGAGATGGATAACTCATGGCTTGGGTGACTTGAGTAGGCTAAGAAATGCCTCCTTTTCACCTTTATAGACTTACACATCAGTTCAGGTATCGGAGAAGCTGAAAAAACATCTTCAGAAGTGAAGTATGCAGCAAATGACTGCCCTGTATGTCCTACCTGGCTTTCACTACAGTAACAACTTTGGACAGGAGCTGATGCAGAACTGCCCTTCTCTCTCCACCTCACAGTTGATGAATTACCAGAACTAATTGTTGCCTTGACAGGCCTTTGATCTCTGGAAGAGCCAGTTTATAAATGATGAGTTCCGTTACATGCTACTATTGATAGAGCTGTTTGAATGAGTTTTAAAATCAATAAGCTCTACACAACAGGGAGCCCTTAGTTTATTTCCATTTATTGCAGGCGTTGTGAACTATCCTTGAAAGTGCTTATTGAAGGGTGTAAGTCAGGTAGTAATACAGAAATCAAGTTTGATAAGAGAAGAGAGAGCTGAAAGAGTAATACAAAATAGGAAGCTTTGTGCTTTCATTGGCTCTCCTCCCCATCCCTCCAAACCAGGCCCTAAACTGAACTAAAGTTATGGATGCTGTCTCCAGAGAGAAAGTGTGGTTCAGTATTTAAAATGGAGAATGGGAAGAGAAAGTTGGCTAGGTTCTGTGGACAGCTCTGCTACTGACCTGCCAATGTGGCCTGGGGCAGCTCAGCCCCTTGATGCGTGCAGATGGTTTATCTGCCTATAGGAATAACAACAACCAAATTTGCAGCACATCCTTTATCTAAGTACGCAGAAGTGCTCCACAAACATGAATGGCCACTTTGTCTGTGGGACAAATGGGTGGAATTCCATTGGTGTGAATAGGGCTGAACAGTATGGAAAACTTAGTCCTAGCCTCTTCTTTCCGGAATGTGAAATCCTGGGGAAGCTTTCAAGGGGAAGGGAAGAAATTTTCCTTCTAGGCCAGAGGTGGCCACCCTGTAGCGCAAGTGGTACAAGTGGCGCACGGAGCCTCTCTGCATGGTCCATGACCTGATCATGGAGGGGACAGGAAGCAGAAGGCAGAGCAGGAGATCAATAGAGGAGCGCGATTGGAGTGGCACTTGGAGCCGATGTAAGGCTAATTTGTGACTCACCTGGGGAAAAAGGTTGGCCCCAACTGCTCTAGGCCATAAAGCAGTGTCAGTGTCATTCTGCAGCCACAGTTGTACTTCTTAGACAGCTGTATTTATGATGGCCATAATACACTGTCTACTGGAAGGAGGACAAGAAGACCTCCTAGTGCTGTCTACACTAACTGTCCATAAGAATTGACAGTCGGGCAGCAGGTTGCTAATTCTACTGTAACATGCTCCTTTATGGATGTTTCCAGGTAATGATGATTAGGGTTAGGTGTCTGTCTTGGAGTAATAGATACCTATTGCTCCCGCTACCCCTTGTTTGAAAATATACCTATACCCTCTAACTAAAATATGATACTTCAAAAATAAAGGATCAGTTGTTCAGGGTGGTAAAAACCAGCAACAGAAGCAGAAGTTTTAGATAGATTCTGGTAATGTGGAAGAGAGAGTCAGCATGTCTGAATGAGGAGGAAACTTAGCATGCCCAAGAAGAGGAAAAATAATTTGAATTCCACGGAAAACTCCTTGCTTAAATTCCTTGTATTCCTGAAACACCTCTCACTCCCTGGATAAAATTTCCCATTGATAAGACTCCTCCCCTTTCTCTCTCCCCCTGTTCCCAGTAACAGCTGGCAAATGAGCTGGTATAGAACTTTATTATGACCCAGAAAGCACAAGACCAAGCCAGCTGAGACTCTTTGCCTTGGGCACTGAGAAGCAAAAGGGCATTTTAGCAAATTAGTGAAATGACACACATTTTGGGTTGACAAGTTCTAGACCTGATCCTGCCACAATTTGCTCACTGTTTTCTGCCTTATTCAAGGAAATGGCTCCCTTGAATTTCTAGGGATCACTTTGGAGTCATTTTCTTCTTTCTCTTTTTTCACTTGGGGAATCAAGTTTGAAAGATTAGACTCTGCGTTGTTAGCGCTTGACTGTTTTTGAACGTTGATCTTGGATACAATATTGGAGAGGGGAAAACTCAAAGCTAATATTAACCACTGTCAACCTTGTTCACAGTTGGAGACTTTATCTTGGTGTGTATTTGCACGCAATCTTGGCTTTGAGTACAATCACTTTTCCTGTCTCTTATTAATCCACTGAGAGTGCTCATTTAAAAATGTAGCAATACAGTGAAAGTATATTCGTAAGGGTGGAACAATAGGAGGTGCTGACTGCTTCATTTGCCATCATCCTTGGAGAGCTCATGGACAAATTCAGGAAATTTGTAATGTTGTCAATACTGTTGAAGTGGTGCTGTTTAAAGAAAGCTAAACTTGCACAGGATCCCATTTCCACAGCCATTCAAAAAGCTACATTTTCTTCAAGAACTGTTGTGTATTTAATACAAACTAGTATGGGATAATTGAGGGATCACTTTGAATAAATTACTTGCCATGCTGTCATCAATTAAATTACCCAGATATACAAACCCCAGGTATACAACACTTTGTTCAAGCACACCAATTTTGGCATGCTTAACAGATGATGTAGATGCATCTATTGGACATTATATGATTCAAGGGCTAATTTAACAATAACTGTCTAGATCTGTAATGTGTATTGTATTATGTACGTTTCATAGAGAAACAGCAGCTTAATAGTGACAGAGCACTGCTATTACTTAGACACCCACATACCCATTCCCCATAATCAGTAGGGCTGTGTGAAGCTTTGGTCAGAGATTCAGCTCAGTTCAGTGGCTGAATCCCCAAATCGAATCAGGAGACCCTTTAATTTCTCCGAACTGAATTGGAACCCTCCAAATCGATTTGGAGAGATTCGGCAATTCAAACATAGACATAGCTTTATATGTTTGGGGGTTTTTTCTACATGCCTCAAGGTACCACGCAGCTTGTAAATGCTATTCTGCTGGGACAGATGGAGTGTCCCACAGGAGCATGGGGGGGGCATGCGGCGTGCTCGGCAGCACACCTGGAAGTGGACCAGAAGCACTTCTGGTCCTCTGCCAGGGAGTGTGCAGGCCCCCCACACCCCCACGGCTCGGCAATTGGTGACTCCTGGGTCTGGGGGAGCACCTGGGGCCCCCCCTCATAGCCAATTGCTGAGCTGGGGGGGAGGCTCAGCATGCTCCCTGGCAGACCTGGAAGTGGACCAGAAGTACTTCCGGTCCACATGCATATTCATTGCCAAACATGCAGGGGCCCCTTCCCTGAGCTCCTGTGGGACGCTCCATCCACCCCAGCATCGCAGCAATCTCAAGCTGTGCCTAGTATCTCGAGGTATGTAGAAAAAACATTTAAAGCTATATCTATTGCCAAATTGCTGATTCTCCGAATCGGCAACAAATCTTCAAATTTGGATTTGGCTGAATCGAATCGGGGACAGTAATCCGAATCGAATCACTGTCCCAGATTTGGGCCAAATCTGAATTGAATAGGGCCCGTTTTGCGCACCCCTAATAATCGGGTACATCTCTGGGAGCCCAATTTTCCACAGTCTTGCTATCTTTGGAGGGTCTTTATGGTAATTATTAACCTGGGTGAAATGCAAGTGACCAATAATACAGTCTTTATTCAGTGCATCAGTCATTTTCACTAAAGACAGGCCCAGGTGGTATAAGTTACTGTATTTACTCAAACATAAGTATTTACTCATACATCACCCCCCCCCTCAGTAATTGGAACCTATATGTAAAAAACTTAATAACTTTGTTATAATTTTTGGAGGTTTGCCTTGAATTTGTCCCGCTCCCACTGCTACAGCAGGGGATTTTAAATCTAGGGGTTTGGGTGGCCCCCTTGCCCTCTGCCCCCACCCCCTGAGCTTCTTTCCCTTCCTCTCTGCCCTCTTTACTGTCATACTCCACTGTCCCTGAGCACATGGAAGTAAAGAACAAACTTGAAAATACTGACTTACAGGAATTCGTCAATATACAAACCGCTATAAGTACCCATAGACTTAGTTCATCTGGAATCAAAGCATATTATCTTTTTTTTTTTTTTTTTAAGTTACTTCCAGTTTTAACATGGGTACTCCATAAACACACTTTTAAGCAACAGTTTTGAACCTACTTCTATATAGCAAGAACTTTTGCATTTCATTTTGTTCGTTAACATATATTACACACACACCTTTACTGTCCTGGTTCATAACTGACACCACTCACTTGACAGTCCATAACATACAGCTACAATTAACAATCATCATCCCCCACTACAGTAACTGCAACTGCATACCCACATGCACATCTCCTTTAACCTTTACAATCATACAAAGCAACTTCCATGCTCTCTACACTCCCCTCCTCTTTCCATCCCCTTGTATTTCTTTCTCCAGTCCTTAGTCTGTGTTGCATTATGTTGTCCTTGTTGCTCACCCCCTCTTCATTGCTATCATCATCTTCTTCCCCATCATCGCCGTTGTTGGTGTTTTCTCTTAGGGGGCCCATTCTTGAACGGTCCATGCCATTCTTTCCTCTTCCATGTGTCTTTTACAATCTTCTCTCCATTTCCTTCTGTTGTCTTGTAGTACAGCTATATTGCAAGAGGACTCCCATTCTGATGAAGTCCTTAACTGAGAGATTCATGTGCCTATACACAAGCAGGTTCCTAGTATTCCTCAGGGCATTTCTGAAGCAGGATGTGAACTGGTCAAAGCAGGCTGTTGGGGTCCCTTGCTCCTTGCTTAGGTGTCCAAGCAGCCCTGCTTCTCTGGTCAGGATCTTGACTCCTGTCACCATCTGGAGGAATTAATTTGCTCTCCCCCACACTTCCCTGTTGTACAGACAGCTCCAGAGGAGGTGATCAATTGTTTCCTCCTGCCCTGGTAGGTTTGCCTGGAGCAGCCTGGTGAGTCTTTCTGCCCCTCTATATCTCAGTGCCCACACAGGGAGTGGAAGGTTACGTGCCAGTCCAAGTCCCTGTGCTCCTTTTGCAGGTCCTTTTAGAAGATTCACTCCCACGTGGCATTCATTCCCTGGCATCTGTTGCTGGATAGTACGTTCATAGGTGACAGTCTATCTTTTGCCCTTACCACCTTCTGCATCTTACAGTCATTTGTTGCGGTCTTTTGGACCTTGTTGCATAATTTGTATCTGTCCCAGAGGTGGCCCAGGACTCTGTAGAACCACGGTGGGTCCATGGTCCACAGGCATGTGTTGAGTAGTGTGTACACCCAACAGTATCAAAGCAGGTGCCCCGCAAAGTACTTCATGAAGCAAACTATTTTGGAATCTGCCCTGGCTGCCAAGTCACAGATCTGGCTCATGTACTTGGCCCAGAGGAACAGCAGGACATATGGCATTCCTTGGCCACCGGTCTGTTTTGTTTTGTACAGTGTGGTCCTTGCAACCTTCTCCCATCTGCAGCCACACAAGATGCACATGGATCTTTGGCTTCTATAGGTGATTTGCTCTGAGTTGGGGGGGCGGTTTTTTGTGGGGGGGGGGGGGGGGGGGGGGGGGGGAATACTAGTGCAGTGTATAGTATAGACACACCCAATAGTACTGGTTTACAGAAGCAACAATGCCCTCATGAGTGCCATGTACACCTCTCCTCCTCCACCGATAGGCAGTGCATGTTCCACAGCCCCAGTCTCTGTCTAACTTTGGCCTCAGTCCTTTTCCATGCTTTTTGTCTGTTCAGCTTTGAGTCAAATTCCACCCCAAAGCTCTGCACCTTATCATGGGGGACACAGACCCCCAGGGCCAATGACTCCCTGATTTCCCTCAGTACTAGGCAGGTGCTCTTACCCATGTTGATTTTTGGCCCCTGCCACCACTCTATACCTGGGTATGTTGTAACACTTCTCACTGGTCACAGCACCCTTGTCTCTGCCTTGCTTCCCCTGGAGATCTGTACTCTGCTGATCCCGGGATCTCACCTGAGCTGCTGGGCCAGCGGTTCCAACACACAGATGAACAGGACTGCAGAGAGTGGGCAGTCCTACTGGACACCTGACTCCATCATGATTGGGGTGGTCAGGAACCAATTCATCAGCACTCTGCTGCTCAAACCAGGTACTGCATCCTTATCCAGGTGACGAAGGTTTGGGGGGGACTGCTATCTTCTTCAGTGTTTCAAACAGGAACTGGTGAGACATTCACTTGGAAGTCTTCTCCAGGTCAGAGTTCAACATGGTGATTTTTCTGCCCTTTCTCTTGTTGGTACCACAGTGTGTCCCACAGCTACAGCAAGGCTCCATGGATCTGTCACCCTGGGCCTGTGAATGACTGGTCCTCATGGATCACCATACTTATAATAGACTTAAAGCCCTTGGTAGAGACTCTGGTCATTGGTTGAAGTTCAGGAGCACCTGAGTTTCCAGTTCAACTCCTTCCTTACCCCCTTCTTGAAAAGAAGGGCTATGAGGTCCTGATCCATCCTGGCCTCAAGGTGGCCATCCTGCAGTCATTTCTTATATACATCCAGCAGGTCTGGACCCACATGGCCCCAGAAGGTAATGCAGAACTCCTGCTCCAGAAGTCATAATGTTCTTGAAGCTCTGGAGACTTTTGGTGATCTCCTCCAATGGCCATTTCAACTTTTGGCTCTCATTTCCCTTCCCTTTCTTCCCCCCCCCCCCCCCCGGGGCCCCCCGCCCCCCCCCCCAAAGGGCCCCAGGTCCTCTGTCCATGCCATGCACAATTCTTGGTAGAAGGCCACTGTTGTTTCCAGCATAGAATCATAGTAAATTAGGGTTGGAAGAGGCCCTAGGAGGTCATTTACTCCAAACCCCAGCTCAAAGCAGGACCATTCCCAACTAGATCATCCCAGCCAGGGCTTTGTTTAGCCAGATCTTAACAACCTCTCAGGATGGAAACT